TTGAGGGGAATTTGTGTCATATTTGATTGCAGGCCTGTGCTTATTTGGTGTATAAAAATAATTCAAACAGCCATGTGTAAGAATTAGAAGCCTTCATAAAAATATTTCAATGGCAAAATAGTTTTAGTTACACTGGAAGAAGCTTCTTAGCTCAAAAGGAAAACCTGTAACTGCACAAGGGCTAAATTCTTTATTTTTGTTTACCGATGCAGTGTAACTGCAAGAAGAGTCTGACCTCATCTCCCAAGTACCTCTGAGAAGTTGATCTTGGGTTAAACATATTGCTTGGCAATACATACCTTGTGCCTCCCAGGTTTTCAGGTAAAAAAGGCAGAGAATCAATGGCCCAGTAACAAGAACAACATGAAGAGGCAGAAGCAGGAGCTCTTTCCTGCTCCTGGGAGAGAGAGCTGACAGAACTCTCTAGCTGGAGCTTCTGTAGTCAAGGCAGCACATGTCTCTTTTAAACGTAAATCAGATGAGACATTAGAGTACTTTTAATGCTCCCATTAGTCTTCAGGCTGTCCACTGTAGAATATTTATCATATGGCTTGCTTCACATGCTGCATTCTAAAGTGTAGTGTTCTGAAGCGTGGTGATGGTGCTTGAAATTCAAGATTAAATGTCAGTATGCATTTGTCCATCATCCCTTTGATAGTGTTTGGTCTCTTCGTAGTCTCTGGCAGAGGCTCTTTGCATCAAACACTTGGTGTCCTTAGGCCAATCCATCACCCAGACATATCTGGAAATGAGACTCAAGCTCAACAATCAGAGAGTAAGACCAAGAGATTAATCTGTTCTCTGTCAGATTTGGAAGGGAACTAAAAACAATTTCCCTGCTCCTTGCTGGCCCTTCAGCAGCTGCCGCTCACTGTCCGGCTCCAAGCAGAGCTGGCAGCTCAGGACTGAGCCACTGGCACAAAGGGGGGAATGTCAAAAGGCATCCCTAGAAGGTCTCAAGGCCTGGATGTGCAGCACCTCTCCTTGGCAGTGAAAGGTGTGATCAGGAGATTTGTTTCAGAGACTGCCTCAGAGCTTACAAATCAGCAGTCAAGGGCAGTGGCTGCTGACAGGTGGCATCTGCTGGCATTGTAGGGACTGTGTACCATGTGTCCCCCTTCTTCAAGAGCAAAGACAGCATTCTCCTGATAGGCATCTCCTCAGGGATTTGTAGTGTTTCTTTGCCTGGTGGTGCCTGGTGCTGTCCTGCCTCGAGACCATGCTCCACAGTGTCACCAAGCCCCAGCAGCTGGGCTTCTTGCCTGTACAAACCACATCCTTGGCTATTACAAACCATTTGGCTGTGGACCCTTCTGGTGTGTTCAGCACAGGCCTGTGGGTTAATGGGAGCCCCAGAGTGTTTGGATGCATTTAAACCAGTTTGTTCTTGAGCCTCGTGGCACTTGTTAAAAGTCTGTGTTACTCCAGGTCTGAGGTGGTGAAGGAATAAAGTGATATTCTGAGGATACATTTAAGCTTAAAGAATCAGCAGCTGCCAGATAGACAATCTCCTGCATAGCTTTATTATTCCCACTTTGTGCACCCACTGTGTATACAGGAGGAAATTTAGGTCTTATGAGAGAAGAAGTGTGTGGTCGTGAAATTAAAGACTTCATATATATATATATATATATATATATATATATACATACATACACACACACACAGAGATGAAGGGATGACTTAAGATGTCCTCTACTATGTTAAACTTGATACTTTGCTTCTTATTCATATTAATTTCCTAGGAATAATATTTTCTTTAAAGAAAAAATGATAAAAATAAATACTGTTATCCTGCATTAGCAGCAGGGCTGGAGCCCAGTCTTTCCCACGTCTCTCTTTCCAGTTGCTGCTGTCTTCAGAGCCCTTCCTAACATGTGCCAGACCTCCCTTGGCCCTGTCCAAGCCTGGCACACCAGTGAATGAAATATTTGCATGAGGCAGCGTCATCTCATGTAACCTTTGACTTCCCATCTGAATGGAGACAGATTTCCTGTTCACTTCCTAGCTGGGCTGCAGCGTGGTCAAAAGCCACTCATCCTTCTGTAAAATGGGGCTGTAGTGCCTGAGGAGGCTTAAAAGAACTGCAGTAAAATTCGGGAGAGAGGAAGCAGGGCTCTGTGTACTTACAGAGAAGAGATCCCTGCCTTATATTCCCAAAGGAAAAGCCAAGTGGCACATAAACCACTACACCACCCTGGCGAGGAAATTGTCTGGGCTGTTCTGCATTGACCAGCCACCCTGGAACTTTCCCACTTGATGTTGGTGCTGGGCAAAATGCTCCCTTCCAGTGACATCCAGAGGGCTCCTTGCTGGCTGATGTTCTCCTGCTGCCCAGCTCTCTGCCTTCCCTGGATTTATGGTGACCCTATCTCCCTTGTTAGGCAAAGCTTTCCCTTGATGGGCTCTGCACTCACTTGGAGAAGATAAAGAGTGTACAACATGGGTCTCTCACATTCTCTTCCTTTTCCAGTCCTCCTTTGCTTTCAGAGGAAGACCAGGAGAAAAGGGGGAGCTGGAGAGAGCAGTTGTAACTCACACTGGGTCTGCCACCAGTTCCTCTGGTGGTGTGGTGGCTTTGACTGAGCCCCTGTCAGCCCAGGCTGTCTTCCCAGACAAGGGAAGAAGCTGGGCACTTGGGAAGCTGTCCCTCCTTAGGTGACTCTGTCAATGAGACTTCTCTGCCTGAAGACCTTCAGAATTTGTGGGGGGGTTCCCTCCTTGCTGCCCATCAGAACTGGATATGTTTGCAGAGTGTCCTTGGTTTTCTTCCTGTTTTTTTTTTTTTTTTTTTTTTTTTTTTGTTGACTGCCACTCCATGGTGCCCTAAAATATACCCAGTCTTCTCCAGATCTCAGCTTTGAATGCCATACTGGATTGGGCAGCTACAGATCTTTCCCACTGGCTTCATCAAACTTTTTCCAGTTTCCAGTAGTAGAAGGAAAATGTTCCTTTTGCTGATGGGATTAAAATGGAAGCACCTTCTGGGCTTTGGTTTGTCCTAACACCACAGTTGCCCTGATATTTTCCATCTCCATTTAAGGACTGAATTAAGATTCATCATATCCTGGGGTCTTTTTTGTACTCTGTTTAATATAACATTCTTTATTATTACTTATAGAAAAGCTGAGTTGCATTTACAGGAGAGCTTTCATGTGTTTAAATCTTTGGTTCCTTTATGTTTTTATATGGTCACCCGTTCAACTTTTCACTCACGGCTTGAACTGAAAACAGGAAAGCCAGAAAGTGAGAATGTTTCCAAAATGTCGTTTTCTCTTTGCAGTATATTTATAAAAGTTGCAAAAAAACCCCCAAAAAACCACTAAATCAAGATCTCCCACACTAGCATTTCTGGAGCACTGAGAAAGGAACTATTTCTTTCTCTATAGCTACCCCTACCTCTTTCCCTCTTTACCTTTTTTTTTTTCCCAAAAAGCAGTTTATTGCCACCGTTGTGCAGGATAAGTAAAGTGTGATCCTCAAGGCAGGTAATTCTCTCCATTTACCAGACAGAGAAGCAGGAAAGCAAGAATCTTTCAGTGTGTCTGGAGTGGGTCAGTGCAGGAGGATGGAAGGGTCACTTTCCTTCTCCAGCTGCTTTTGACTAAATTGCTCAAGCTGATGCAATTTGACTAAATTGCTGAAGATGATGCAATGTCTGAGACACCCATTGAAGATTTCTGTGACCACAAGGCATCACATCCTACAGGGATGGCTCAACATCAGCATAGTAATGAGATAACCACAGGGAACCCAGAGAGAGAAATTGATGGCACCAGGAAATGGCTTTACCTCACAGCACAAACTGTTTTGTTGCCAGAATTGGGGATAAAGATAAACCACTTTCTCCTGTCTGAAACAAAAGGCTTTAACACCTTCCAGACTAGCAGCTATGGAGGAAAAGGCAACCAAAAGGGGCAGTGTCTGGGGGAGGCTTAGAGCCTTTGCTACTGGACTGTCAAAGTCTGCCTTTCATTAACCTCTCAGATTGTGTAATCAGATTAAGTCAAAGCCACATATTCAGATTTTGGATCTGATTTGATTTCTTAGTCCAGTTTCTTATCTCACAATCTATGGATGAGTATCTTATTTGCCTGTTGGTGGAAGAAGTTTGGAGCAGGGTGTAGTATAGATGTGGTTTTTTTATAGATATTTCATGGCCTAAATAATGCTGGCAGATACTGTTTGCTTCTACCACAAGGAGAACATACAATTTATTCTTGTCTGATTATATTAAAAGAAATACAGCACAAAAGGAAAAGGGAAGAAAACCACCAAAAAAGGCTATGAAGATATAATCCCTTCTAGCCAAAAAAATACCAACTCTATGACATCCTTGTGTGTGGGGAAACTCAGTTCCTAGATTATTTTGATAAACTTTGTTACAATCAGTTTCACACAAAACCCGGTTGTTTATTTAATCTTAACTGCTTGCAGAAATGTCATCCAGTAAGGACATGGAGGTTATTATTTTTCTTTTAGTTAAAAAAAAAAAAGAGTTTGTTTATTTTTCTTCTGTTATTTGGTTTCTCCATGTAGATTTATAAGGGCTCTGTCACCAACAGTCTTGTATTTGCCTGTGAGCTGGGTGTGTGGTTTGTCTGCCTGGAAGGGCAGGAGCATCCACAGTGGGAGGCAGCTGAGTGGGGAGCAAAAGGAGCCCCGTGATGCTTCCTGCAGCCAGCATGGACATGCCAAAGTGACCCTGGATTGGGAGCAAGTCATAACACAGTGTCAGTCCATTCCAGGATATTGCCATCACTACGAGGGAACCAAAACCTTTTGTGTTACCTAGAGGGTGAAATCTGAACCCCCACTCTGTCCCACGTGTCCCTGGGTCCCCTTCTGGAAGCTCACACAGGCAGGACTGTGGTGGCAGCCATCCAGGTTTCATGCTGACAGCCATGGCTGGAGCCAGGGCTCTCTGCTGGGTGCTGCTGTGCTGTCCCACATGGCAGGTGATGCCCCTAACCCTCCCCTTTCCTGTGTTCTCTCCTCAGGCAAGATCCTGTTCCGGAGGAGCCACGTCCGAGATGTAGCAGTGAAGAGGCTGAAGCCCATCGATGAGTACTGCAGGGTAAGGGCTCTGGGGAGCACAGCCCTCCTGCCTGGGGGCTCAGGGCTCCACCAGTGCTGGCATTTCCCTGCTGGAGGGTGCTGACACCTATCACAGGGAAGGATGGTGCTTCCCAAACACCACCATGACTAACAGGACAGGTGGAGACAGGCTCTTTGCTACCAGGGTCCTCGCAGCATCTTCCCTGGCAAACTTTATGTACTGGTTTGGTGCCTCATTTACTCAGTAAAGGCTCTAAGCTTTGCCTGCCCTAAATGTGGATTTTTATTTCTGCATCAGCCTCAATGATTCAGGAGTTGAGCAGGCAGAGTGGCCGAGCTAAGGTGGTGTTTTCTTCTGTTCTTTGCCTGTCTGTCCCCTGGTGCCACATGGGGGACAGCAGTGGCTGGTGCAGTGCTGAGGGTGGAGCTGTGTCTTCCAGGAGTGCTTCTCCTCATCAGTGAAAGCCTGGAAATTTGTTACTGAACAGAAAAGCTTGACTCTGTTGAGAAGAATATTAAGCCACCTAATATTTTCTTTCTAAACTAGAGTTTATGATTTGATGATAATTAATTCTCTGTCAGTAGAATAAAAGTCGTTTGCTTAGGCAAGTCCTACTTGCTTAGGCAAGTAGGATTCCCAGTTTTTGCAGAGGTATCGAGTCCGTCAGCACATTATTTAAACCCCAGACTTCCTCTCTTATTTCCCTTGAGGTTTTTTTTCCATTTTTAGAAAGTCAGAGGAGCAGGTGGAGGGGGGAAAAAGCATTCCCAAGAACTTCTCCAGTCAGACATTTGCTCATCCAAAATTGGAAGCAGATTGCCAAAGTGCCTGAGGCGTGCTGGGGGTGGTGGTGGCGGTGAAACCCATGCCATCTGCACCCCCGGGGTGAGGAAGCTGCAATTAAAGTCTTCTCTCATGAGATCAGGCTTTCTTGTGTGACAATTAGTCTACTGTCTTCCTGCTAGCTGCCAAATGGCTCTTTCTGAAATAAGCAGGGTCTCAGTGGGTCCCCAGCCGCCCTCCTTCAGACAGGAACTGCCGGCGACAGGAGCAGCCAGGGCTGGCTGATGTCAGGGTTCACCCAGCAGATGCGTGCTGGGGAAAGCAGGGACTTTGTCACCCAGCAGGGAAAGCAGTGACCAGGGGCAGCTGGTTCTCTGGGACCCCATTGTCTGTGTCCCAGACAGACCTGGCCTGACCCAGCCGGGCCTGCTGGGGCTCCACTCGTCATGGCCAAGGGGTGTCTTGTGGCTGATGTCATTGTCACTGTGGTGCTGTGATTCTTGCTTTCCTCACTTCCTTTTATCTCTCTTGGAGAAGTCTTGCTCAGGTCATAGAATCATAGAATGGTTCCACTTTGGTTCAGATCTGCTGCTGCTCAGACGTGGTTGGATACATCCCTGAAGCCAAGCTGTTTACTCAATCCATGCATTGATAGATGCTGCTTTTGTGAGCAGAGACCCTGCAGTGTTAGACTGGCCCAGTTTCCCCCAGCCCAGTGTTTCCTGTCTCCAGCAGCAGCCACAGTGGTTCTCAGCACTGAGTATCACAAACCTTTAGGGAGCTCTCCAGAATACTATTCCAGTGGTCTCTGGCACATATGTTACTTGTGCCTGATGTAGTGTCTTTTTATTTTGTTTGCAGTTTACTGTAATTTGTATTTAATTTGCCTTTGTACCTATTTTCTGCTTTTCTATCCTTCTCCAGTGGATGTTTTGACTCTTAAGAGAATTGTATGGAACTGTAGAGGAAGAACATCATTTTGACAAGTTCAGTCCTACATCTATAAGAGTTCAAAGCTTATGTCCCATGTTACTCCTCAAATGGGTAGGCTGACAAATTAGAAAAAATTAGAGAATTATGCTGGAATGATGTGGGTGAAGCTGATGGAATAAATGTAACGTGGGATAATAAAATGAATAAGCAGAACAATAGACCTCTGTCCCCTGGCATCTGTGTGGCAGCAGAGGGGGAGGCAGGTTCAAATGCAAAGTTCATGGCAATTTTTTTTTGTAAGGTAAGAGTTCTCCATCCATTTCACCTGTCCTGGAAAGCTGAAGCACAAATGGGGGATGCAAATGTTTGACCATTTGTTGTCTTGTTTTTGCAGACTGTCAGTGTGGAAATTTGCATGGCTGAGAAGCAGGTCTCACTCCTGCTGTGTGGAAGTGTTTGTGATTTCTGTGCCAGGAACAGGCAGAGGCTGTCTTAGAGTTTGTGGGGGTACTTGGCAGTAAGGGGAGGTCTGCAGAAGATTCTGTATGAGGGTCATGATCCCTCTGGACCCTAGAGCTTTGACCTCTGTACCCCTCATGCCTGGGTTATTCCAGTGCATTGTAGCAGCTTAGAGAAATGCATCACAGAGGTAACTAGGCCAGTGGTTTTGCTAAGGCTGCAAGAAACTTTGAAGTTGCAATGAAAACTAGAGGAGTGGGATACATGGGAAGATTTCCAGGAGTTTTCTCATCTGTAAACATGAAATTGCAGAGCCTGGATGTCCTTACTGGTAACCTGAGCGAGTTACCAAACAAGCTGTGTTTTGCCAGTAAATGTGTGCTGCCCACTGGAATTAGTCTCTCTGGATGATTTCCCTCTTAACTGTAGGCTTGGAATTAGTTTAGTGTGATTTAAGGTCTTCTGGGCTCATTGGGCCCGATTTTCTAAATTTGTTTAGGAATTTTTGCCAATGTGAAAGAAAGAGCAACTTCATAGAGCTCCCTTCCCGAGGGGCATTTTATTTATGAGGCTTTTAATCTCTCAAACACACCTCTGGTGAGTGTTTGTCCAGTGTGCACCATCCTGTCTTCAGGAAAGACCTTTCAGGTCAGTGGCTCACAAAACTGTCGCTCTGTCCTTTCACAGCCCTCTGGAAAGACTCAGACCAGAATTTGCTGACTTCCATATTTGTGTGTGCTGATCCTAATTGAGGGAAGCATCTCTGTGCAGGGAAGACCTTAAGATGTAACATCCCATTGTCACAAACCTGGATTTGTCACGTGCCTTCATGCTGTCCCATAAGGCTGGGTATGGTTTTAAGTAGAAGCTTAGGGGCTTTTCTGTAGGGAGGCTTGAGTACCCAGATGGACACCACCTAAATAAAAATTAAATGAGCAAGTCACATCAGTGCCAGGAAGTACTTCTATTAATGTTATTCTTTTATTAATGTTCACTATTTCAGAGACCATGCTTCACAAACATCATACCTCCCTCTTGGTCTCTCAGTCCTGCCTCTTTTTCAACGTTTAATCCTTGAACCTGTCAAGAAACGTACACAGGCATTTCTCTCTGTATCTGTTGTACAACTAAACTGGTTTCATTGAAGATGGAATAGCAGTCCTGGTTAAGAATGAGAGTTTAACTGAAATACTTTCAAAATTTATCTGTTGTTAGTGAAATACTTTCAAACTTGAGCTGACATTTTTAATCCATGTTTCAGAATCCCGATGCATTTAGACTGGCTGCAGTAACGAGAGTTAATTTTTTGCAACACTATTCTCAGCACCTGGAGCAGAGCCTTGCTTTCCATTGTGTTATGGTGCTTCCATGCCAGAAGCTCTTCCAATGTTCCAGTTACTTTCAGAACTGCACCCTCTTTCCTCCTTTTCTCAGCTCTTTATTTATTCCCGCTTCTTCTCCAGTCTGAACCATCACCATGCATTCTTCATGCACTTCTCTGCCTGTCAGCGTTTGCCATCCACCATTTCAGTGCTTTAGCTCAACCTTGAGGTTCTCAGCCAAACAGAAGGTGTTTTCATATAGATGAAACAATTTATTTCTTTGTTCTCAGAAATTATTTTAATTGCACCTTCTCCCTGGCTGGGCTCATGACCATTTCCAAACATCTGGGTCTAGTGACTAATGGTAATGAAAAGGATAAACAATTCGAGGAAAAGTAAGGGAGTCATAACTGTGCAGTATTGTGAACTGGCACTGTGTATTTCTGCAGAGCTGGGAATAAACCCACTGGATATTAGGGATTTAAAAGCTGTGCTTCTGAAGTGTCTCTAGAGGCTGTGTGGAGACAATCAATGATTCCCCCCTTCCAGAGCTAGACACCCATGGCAGGGGGTAGACAAAGCACCCTCTGAAGATGCTGCTCTTTTTCTAGCAATGATACAAGTTGATAGACGAGTGTGAGCAGTCTCCCATTTAAGACACATGAAGTTCAGTGTGGTGAATACCATTCTGTGCACATACACACACATGCTGTGCATCTCTACACATACGTATCTCTGCATCAGTTTTTTATAAATGTATCTGCAAAAATGCAACCCACAGCACTCAACACATCATTAGCAGTGCCTGCAGGGTTTTATGCCATGTATTCCATGAAGCCTTTGAGCTGTGATACAGTCCCATGGAGCAGTTTCCAGTCCATGTAACCTTAAGCAATGGACCCCTGCCTGCACTTGGTGCTCTGCTGCCTTTGATTGCTGTGTGTGGCACACAGCAGCTTTCCACAGGTGCTCTCAGAGTAGCTGGCCATCCCCAGCACCCAGGGCTGCCTGCTCACACCCTGCCTGGTGTTACAGCTTTTCAACAGCCTTTTGAGTCACCTGCTCTGCAAGGCTGTAAGCTGTAATATAGAGCCAGACATGATTACAGGCTGGAATGACACATAAAAGCCTATCTCCTGAGGGATGCGTGAGGGCTGAGCAGTGCACGTCCTCCTGTGCATGCCAAGCAAGGAAACATGCTATTAGTGATAGTGCTCGATGCTTCTGCAAGGCTGAGTTCTGCTTGCTGGCTCTTTTTATCTCTCACCTTTCCTGTGCAAGTTCCTTGCTGTTCCTGGATGCTTGCTGTTTGTGGCTGTGTGTGTTTACCTCTGGTTTCCACATCCCCAGAAGAATGTCACTTCCTTGTCCTTTCTCTCCTTTGTCTTTACACTTCTTCCCTTGACCCTGCAGTCCTTCCTTCAGGCTGTTGCAGCTCTGCCCTGGAACTGTCTTGCTGGAAATGCCAGAAGCTTGAATTTTCCCCTTGCAGGGTGACAGTGGTGTCCCTGATCTCCTCAGTGCACTTTTTGTTTGCTCACCAGGATCATGTTGGCTTTGGCTTGTTCATGGGAATGTTGTGTATTTGCTGAAGAGACACTTGTCTCGCTAAGCAGTGTCACTGCTCCCTGCTGCTATTCAGAATTTAAGAAAAGGGTCCTGATTGGTTTTATACCCTTGATTGCACTTTTTTTTACCATTTCTTAGAGTTTATTACCACTTCTTTGGGTTTTGTTCCTTTAAAGAAAAAAAAAAGTAATAATTGACTGGTTTGATTTTACACCTGAGCTTACCAAAAAGCATGCAATGGCAAGTTACTATGGGGTGGATTTCAGTCCATCTCTGTGCACAAGGCTGGAAACTGCAGCATGTTGGGAGATGATTCAGAAGCAGGAGAGCCAGCCCTGCCCCAGGGTGGGAAGGTGGATGGCTGGGTGTGGAAATGACTGGCTGATTTTTATCCACTCCCTGCAAAAGCCTGGAGTCATAGGGGTGCTTTTCAGTTATCCCCCTTTAGCTCAGCAGGACCACAGTGCTGCTGGGGATTTCCAGGCAGCCAAACACTCATTCAGGGGGTTCAGATTTCCAAAAGCTTCCCTCGATTTGGAAATAAAAATCTCCACGGCAGCTTTGCATTCTCCATCACTGAAAACTCAGTCTGTGCTCCAGCTCACTATTGACATCTGGAGCCTGGTTCTTGGGAAGGGGGAGCACCTGTGACCTGTAGGGAAGTGGGGACTCTTTGGGAAGGCCCTGCTGCTCGAGACCCCCCGTGTTGGGTGTAACTCGGGTCTTTGTGTTTCTCTAATAATGATACGTATCATTTGCACTGCTTGCTCTTGCCCCATTGACTGTGCAAGATTGAGCCCTTTGGGATTTCAAAACACACTGTAGATATTGAATATCTGAGCCTCCTAACCTTTCTGCAGATTAGGTAAGTGTTATTGCTCAGCATTGCAAGGGGGTTACTGAAGATATATCCCAGCTGAATTTGATGAAAAGGGGTTAAGTAACCTGCCCTAACCAAAAAGGGTGTGAGCAGTAGAGCCAGTGCTAAATACCAGCTCCATCCACTGTTGGTTAGACAGCATTGCTTTGCTGTCTCTTGCTTGGGGTGCAGATGAATAAATGTTGTTTATGTTAGCCTGTGCTGGTGAGGCATGGCTCTTTCAACATGCTGTGATCATTACTGTTCCTGGGCATTTCCTGACTTCCCAGTGTTATTCCTGGTTTGCCAGCTGGATGCATGTATTTATGTACAGTAGGAAAAAAGGCAGAGCTCACACCTTTGTTACGGTTTTAGACAAGTTTAAACAAACAGAGGTGGAGACCAGGGCATCCTTTGTTCCTGTAAAAGTGCTTGAGCTTTTCTGCTGTTCTGTTTCATCCTGCCTTAGTGCAGCAGCCAGCGGTGCTTACCCTGGCACTTGGATCCACCAAGCTGTTGCCCAGCTTCTGCATCTGATGCTGCTTCCTTTGCAAGGCGTCTTTTTCAGCTCTGTAGTGCAACTCCACATGACCAAAGGCCAAAGCCTCATTTCTCATAGGCCTAGTGATACCAAATGGATTTTCCTAATGTCCTTATAACATCCCTTCACAAAAGAAAGGAGAGCTGTAGGTGTGGAAGCATTTGAATTTATGAACACCTCAAAACAAGACCAAATCATCTATTACTGGACACTACAGTTTCACAGCATTTTTTCCAACTCTTTTCCTTCACATCCCCAAGCAAATGTGGTCTTGGAAACAAATCTGGCCACTTCTAAAGCCTGGTTAAAAACAGCTGTGCTGGTAACCAACTGCCCTGTCCTGCCTTTGTGCTTTGGTTGGACCTTCTGGTGTGTCTGACCAAGATCAGTCAGATGTCTCATGGTTAATATAACCTGTTCACCCTAATGCATCTTCATTTAGTTCTGGTGCAATTTTTCATCCATCTTTCAAGATTGTTTGTCCTACTTTCAACTAGGAGAAGAGCCAGACAATCTCATTTTGTCAAACAGGTTTACAGGAACTCTAAGAAGCTTGGTCTATATTTAACCTGTGGCCTATTTTCAGCATAACATAGCGCAGGAGGAGGTGAAGTCCAGCCTCTTTTCCTCTCCTGCTTGTCATTTCTGGAGGCAGTCTCCCAGTCATGTCACTGAGGGCTGCTGCCCCAGCTCTGTGGGCTGGGTACAGCTCTTTAACATCTTTTGGCATGATAAAGCTCTAGACTCTGAACAGCAAATTCACAGCATGTTTCTGCCTTGTGTGCTTGTCTTATTTTAGGTCTTATTTTCCAGTACACTTCAACAGAATGTGGTTGATGCCCACACTGCACGTAGCTATTGCTGAATGTGACAAGTGCCATGTCCCTTTGGGAGGCAAGTGCACAGACACTGTTAGCCAGGATGTGCTGTGCAACCTTCTTCATGCAGAAAAAGCCTCTCTGTGTTTTGGTTGGATTTGATTTGTTTTTCTCAGACACTTAACCAAACTTCCTTTCTTGTTAATTTAGGAGCAAATTGTTGTTTGGTTTGGTTTGGTTATGGGGTTTTTTTAGAGAACTCTGCTTTTTGTGTGGACAGCTTAATGGAAGGCTTTATGGAGCACATTAATCTGTTGTCTGAGTGGGTGTTGAATTTGTGTGCATTGACACAGAGCTGTAAACCCTAACCTCAGTGTTTGAGGTGCTGTGCAAGCCTGTGTCACAGACTGTCCCAGCCATTGAGCACTTATCTGTGCAGTGTCATGGTTTTGCTCTTATGGACCAGACTCTGCTTTTGAGCACATGGCAAAATAAATTACATTGGCTGATTCTAAGAACTGTTGCTTGTCTGAATTAATTGCTTCCTACCTGACATTTGCAGTCAAGGCTTGCTATTTCCTTTCTTCTCAGGTAAGTAGCAAGGTGTGCTGCTGTTCTTGAGCATTCTTTTCCCCCTGCCAGGACTGTTTTGCCTCCTCATGCTTGGCAGTTTAGATGTTTGAGGCCGTGTTTCAAACTTGGCTTATGTCTAAGTGCTTCTCTCTCTCTGTTTTGTTTTGCAGGCACTGGTTCGGCTTCCTCCCCACATTTCACAGTGTGATGAAGTCTTCAGGTTCTTCGAGGCTCGCCCAGAAGACCTCAACCCTCCAAAAGAGTAAGTGTTGTGATGGTTTTCCAGTGCTGCTCAGTACAATTTGATTAGCTGGAAGGAAAAGGTCATTTGTTATCATTACTGCTGTAGACGTGGGAACAGATTTTGTAGCTTTCAAGTACTACCTAGAAAATGCCCAGCAGTTACACACAACCCCTTTGGGTGAGTGGAGGACAGGGAAGTCAAGCAACCCTCAGACACAATTTTCAGCCATTCTCCACCCACCTTTGCATTGTTTCTTGCTCATGGTTCTAATGAGGGAACCTCCCCTGGTTGGTAGGTTTTACCTGATAGCTATCACCAAAGAGTCATTTAGTTCCCAAAAAGCATTGGCTCAGTAGCAGGGGGAAATCCTGCCAGTAAGCACTTGGCTCATAATTACCAGCTGCTTCTTTAAATGTACTCCTGCCCAGAGATACTTAGTTATCGGTAGGGAGCAAGATTGTGGTCCAGATCCAAAATTGTCTCTGGAGAGTCTATTCTTTCTAAGCAGGAAGCCAAGAAAAGGAGGAGGGAAAGAGTTCCCATTAAACACGAGACAGAATTGTAGCCTTTACATTGGAGCAGACAGGCTGATTCATGCGGATGCACTTAGGGTCCATAGGACTCATTTATCCAGGGAAAGCATTGGCAGGAGGGTATTTACAAGCAGCAGTGCTGCCTTGCACGGTATTTCCTTTTCTCTTTCATCCCAAACAGGATATATTTTATTGTACTCTGCAATAAGATTTTGATTTGGTCCCATTATGTTTTGTGCTGCTTTGTTGCATGATTTGAAACCTGATTGCAGGCTGTGTTACTGTAATTTGCTTTCTCCCGTGTTTGCACAGCCCACTGGATAAGGGGAAATGGATGCAAAGCTTATGTGTTTTGGGCACTTTACCACATTCAAACCTGTAGTTATTGGAAAGATTTGTATTGGCTTCAGCTGTCTGCTCCCATGCTGGTGAAAAAGAGAGAAGGACCTTTGCAATTTGATTTCCCAGACTTTGTTCCTTGGACATGCATGGGTTTGTACAAGGAGATGTGTTAACATGTGTGCTAAAGAAAACACTACTAGCATCACTGAGAGCAAAGTCTGTTTTTTGTTTCATGAATGAAGGAAAGAGCAGTTTTAAATCAAAAGTCTGGATAAAGAGCTGGTTTTTTTATTTTCTATCTAGCCTTGGTTCAGGAAAATGTCTGGTGAGAATAAATATAGTTTCTTGTTCATTGTTAAACACATACTGCAAACTTAGAAAACATTGCAGCAAAATAAGCCTGTTCCACTCTGAGACCTGCTGATTATCACAGTTTCTATTTAGGGTCTGCAAGTAGGTTTGCAAAGGTTGCTTGATCCCACAACACCCTATTTGCGATGCAAAGACACATCCCCGTGTGCCAGGCACAAACAGACACCCCAAACAGGAGCTAGGTCCCAAGAATTATGGAAGAGTTCACATGGAGGATCTCAAATGGAGGTTATGAGTCTGCTTGAAACTCCTGTCTGCTTTCTGTACTGATGCAGAGACTACAGCACCTCTGCAAGGCAGGGGCCTGGGACCCAGGCCCACCCCCAGGTGTACACTAACCATTATGGTTTGCATCCCTTGTCCCTACTCAAAGTTGTAGAGGGCCTGCTTGACAGCCTTGCAAGAATTTTCAAGTTATCCCTTCACTCCCCTCTGGAAAAACAAAAAAGACTAAATGTTCTCAGCCCAAGCCTTGCATCCTATTCCAACCTAGTAATAAGTGTGATTTATTTCCCTGGAAAATGTAGAGCAATAACCTGATTAAATCTCACTTCACTAATGTCTGCAAGACATTAATCTAGCTGGGTTTAAACAAATCCTACCTCATCTTCTGTAAGCAAACAGATCTTAGGGAAGGTGTCTAAGGTTTCTGCTGGGAGTGCTTCACAAAAGATGTATTGTTGAAACTGAAGATTAGTCTCTACAAAAAGATGATGTAAAAGCCAACGGAAACATCTTAGTGTTTTTCTTCTGTGAACTGAGGGGGAAGGGAGGAGATCTGAGGCTCACTGGACCACTGTGTAGGGTCTGGGGGAAGGACACCTCCAGGGCGATTCTGAACCTCAGCAGGCACTGCAGGAAGGAGCATGATTCCAGAGAAATCCCTGTGTATTCCCTTGTTTTCTTACTCTGCCAAGCCCCTCTAGAAACACTGAGCCAGTGGTGCCCAAGCCCTGTGAATTCAGTCTTCCCTGGACCTCATGGTTCATCATTCCTCTCACTGGAGGTAGGGCTGTAGCCTGGAGGCATCATCTAGACTATCCTAATTATGTTATCTATTTCTTCAGCTGCTTCTTTTAGCCATCAGCACAGAGGTGGTTTGAATGTTGATCTGTCAGCATAGACACTGGCATTCAGCTTGCTGGGTTAAAGAACAATAAGCAAGTGACTCGGCCACCAAGGGGCAGAGAACAGAATTGCTTGTGCTGCCTTCTGGTCTCCTCTCTGTGCACAATGAGATGATCTTTAGTTTCATATTGATCTGCTCAGGTTTTTTTTTTTTTCTGCAGCAGCTTGGCCTCATAAGACAAAGCCTGACCTAGGGTTTAATTAACTAACTAATTTTCAGGAGTGTAACCTTAATCCCATGGGTATTTGGGTTGTTGAACCCAGAGAGTCTATTGAGTTATTGCATGTCAGTGGCTGAACCTGTGCTTCCAGACAGAAATACATGAAAGCTTAAACGTTGAGGGAGGAGACACAAAAATGCCTAGCTTACCTTGCAGCTGGGATGTGCAGAGAGGTATCCATGCCTTTAATTGCTGAGCCATGGCTTGCAATGGTGCACTAATCTATCTAGCACTGCATTAATTCAGCCACAAAGCCGAGCTCTTCGCTTCTGTTCCTATTGTCCTGAAAGACATCAGAATTCCCCTGTAGCTCCTTGGGCACTTTTACAAATGTGTTGCTGGCTTCTTCCCTACAACCCTTCACCTGCCCTGCCCTTGCCTGCTCCCTGCTTCTTTGTGCAGTCCTGTCCAGGCTGTGCCATGTTTGGCTCGCTGGCTGCTCCTTATGGAGTCATTTCCTACTGCTGTCTGCTCCAGCACGCAGTCCAGCTGCAGTGAAAGCTGGGCTTTCCCCATGCTCTCAGAATCTGGCCAATTTGTGCAGTTGAATTCACAGCTTAGGTTTTCTCTTTCCTGCTTTGGTGATGGTCCAGGCTTTCCAGTCCTGTGACAGTAGGCAGAAGGTATTTCTTCCAGCCCATTAAATCTCTCCCGGGTACAGCAGCTCACAGGCAGAGAGCTGGAGAGATGTCTCAAGAAATCTCAGCATTTGTAGTGGCTGACAGTCTCCTCCAAGCCTGCTCCTGCTGGTGGAGATAGCTCCAGGCCAGATAGCTCCCAACAGCAGATTTCCTTCATGTGGCATGGGACAGACCATAGGAGGACACTAAATTTGTGTGTGGAATGGTGTGGGAGCATTCTCAGGCTGTTCCACATGGTGAAAGCATGGCTTTTGCAAGGGAGCAGTGATGTGCCAGGCAGGGTTGGGAGCTCCAGTGACAGAGTTCCCAGGGCAGCTGTCTGATGCTCTCGCTCCACCCCTGGGATAGCTGCAGGGAAAGCAAGCTTCAAACCATCAGCCCTGCTACAGCAGGAGCAGTTCTCAGCTGTTTCCAATATGTGACATTTTAGTGTTTGGGCAAACACCTCTGTCTGTAGGCACATGGCTGGGCTTGTGTCCTTTACCATGCCCCCAGTGTAAGGGACAGATCCTGCACTGCCATGGGAAAAGATACTGTGAGGTAAGAAGGAAGTGTGTTTTTATTTATCCTTTGCTCTAAGTAAACACCATGTCACTAAAAAACCATTCATTTACTGGATACTTCTGTTAATAATTATAATTACTGATAAATAAACCAGACATAGATTAATTTCAGATTCTGCTGGGGATTTAAATTCAAGGCTGAGGTCAGGCCAGGGCTCACAGTCAACAAACAAAATCTCAGAAACCAATTTTTTAAATGATTCTATTTTACTAGAAAAAACAGAAATACCAAAAAAGTAGGATTAATCAGTTAGACATTGCATATGGTTTACTGGTCTTAAGGCTTTTTTGCAGTGAATTTCAAAATATCACAGCCAGACCGCTCTTGTGAGAGTTTGTTTTTTCTTTGTGTCTAGATCCAGTCTAAAGAGAGGATCAAGAGCCAAGAATTCAGTTCTCCAATACTTCCCTCTATAGAAATGCATGCAGTCTCAAACAAAATTTCTGTTTAAACCACCATTAAAAATATTATCAGCCAAATTTAAAGCAGTGTTCAGTATCTGAGAATAATTTTCCTGTGAGAATCATAAAACAATTTTCAAACTATATGCAAATCCAGAAAAGTTAGGGAACTTCTAGATATATGACATATTATGAGGGTTCATGCAGAAAGTGGAGTTAAGGCTGAAGGTGCCTTTACTAAAGAACAGAAATGCTCTGTTGTGGTCTGTAGCCAGGAGCTTTACTGATCATATCTCTATCAAATAAATATTGGCGTAACACTCGGATGCTGTGATGCCAGGCAGCCACTGTAAAATGGAAGCTGGATTCTCATCTTATTCTTCATATATTACAAATTTCTGATAAGGATGCTGAACAGAAATAGCCAGGGTAATGGAGGGACTGTGTTAAGGAAGCTGCTTTAGTTTATGAGTATATTGGTGCTAAAGCACAGCTCCCTAATACACTATTTTCTATCCATAAGCATAAGTGTGTCTATATATAGTTATTTCTGTTTCCCAGATCTGCTCTGTAATAACAATTCAATTACCTGTTGGTAGAGGAGGAAACTTTTCATGTGCAAAATATCTGTATTTTTTCTGATTTGTTTGATATTATGAAAATATTTTCTCTTATATTTCATCCCTTATATTCCATTGCTTATATTTCACTTATATTTTATCACTTTTGAATTGTGTTTCTCCACTGGGGAACACATTGGACAGCTGAGTTTCTGAGCAGAAGTGCTATGAGGAAAAGCTGGCATTCTTTTTTTTT